AGATATTGGAAGACTGCTATCATGTCTCCCCTAGTCCTTCTTTCTATTAAACTAGACATACCCAGTTCCTGCAACCATTGCTAACCGTTGCTCACTTATGTTGCTAAGTGAGAAATTGGAAAGCCTGTGCTCATAGTCCTCAGTGTGGTGCTTCTGCTGAGCTCCTTCTTGGTCAGATCCAATTTGAACTGAGCTGTTTTGCCAGTTCTTTCTTATGGTGGCTGCTTAGCAACTGCTTCCTGTTGGGGCCCTAAGGAGCCCGGACGGGGAGGCGAGCAGTGGCTGGGAGGGGAGGGATTGCCTAGCCACACCCACCCAGCCAGTCATTAGGCAGATCATATTAGTGGTCCGCGGGATTTAAAATTATGAATTTAGAGGTCCGAAAGGTTGGGGATCCCCAATGTGGATAACGGAGACTCTTCATAGACGCAACATCCAACCTGCCCTTTGCATCCTGTTCAGGCACCGCTTGCTGCTAACGCTAATCGTCATTGTCTGATTTCAGCGGAGGATCTCATGATTTCGTCAAAGCATATTCTGACCTTCAGATCTTCCGGGAGGCAACCGCGGCATCTTCTGTGATGGTGGCCCGGGCCGCCATGTGGAACCCCTCGATCTTCAGGAAGGAAGGACCTTTGCCCCTGAAGGATGTCATGCAGGAATATATCAAATACGTATGTATTCTTATTTTTTAAAGTTTTTTAATTTTTTTTTACAAATGTACCAAATCCACATGTGAACAGTGGTACTTGGGTATTGTTTATAAAAAATCAGAGACCAAATTTGAACTTCCATATTTTTCAGAGTACAAGATGCAACTCCCCCCCCCAAAAGCATGAAAATGTTGGTGCGTCTTATACACCAAAAAGAGCCATTTTTGGCCTCCCAAAGCCCTGCGCGGGCATCCCATTTTGGTGAAAAACAGGCCTTTTTTTGCAAAAACGGAGGTGCTTTTGCTTTCCCCCAGCCTCCAGCAGCACTCTGCAGGCTTCAGCAGGGCTGGGGGAAGGGAAGGCAAAAATGCCTCTGTTTTTGCAAAAAAAGGCCCGTTTTCTGCCTATGTTTTACAAAAACGGGAGCGTTTTTGCCTTCCCCCAGCCCTGCTTAACCCTGGTGAGTGCTGCTGGGGGCCGGGAGGACAAAAACTTTTTTTTCTTACTTACCTCTTCGAAATCTTGGTGCGTCTTATACACCGGTGCATCCTATAGTCTGAAAAATATGGTATTTGAACTTTCTTATTCTAAAACTTGTCTTTCTCCTTTGTTAAAGGGTTGTTACTCATCTTGTTTTCTTTAGGCAGTGAGATACGATAATCATTATACCAATACTAAGTATTGCTTGTGCCAGATGTTAAGGGAGCAATTAGAAAATGCACAAGGAAAGAAGTTGCACGCTGCACAGTCTTTACAGGAAATCTGGTAAGGGCCTTTTCATGTTTTTCATTTTAATTAAAGTGTCCCTGGATAAAGCCAACAGGGTAAAATACAAACATGCAAATGTGTTAAAATATTCGTTAAAAGTTTTTAATACAAAAACCTGGCACTTTTGTTTACATCTTGTTTTAAAGCATGCTAACTGCCATTGCTGGAAGAAAATCTTCTATTGTTCTATTAAAGTAATTCTAATCTTCATATCACTTCATGCCTCAGTTGTTAAGTGAATCCTTTAAGTCGATAATAGCACTAGCAACAGCACTTAGACTTATATACCACTTCACAGGGCTTTACAACCCTCTCTAAGTGGTTTACAGAGCCAGACTATTTGCCCCCAACAATCTGGGTCCTCAGTTGACCCACCTTGGAAGGGTGGAAGGCTGAGTCAACCTTTGGCCTGGTGAGATTCGAACTGCCAAATTGCCGACAGCCAGGAGGCAGCAGAAGTAGCCTGCAGTATTGAATTCCAATCACTGTACCATCTCGGCTTTTACTAAATTAGTAACCCAGTTGTTAATCTGGCTTCCCCATTGACTTTGCTAGTCAGAAGATCGCAAAACATATCACGTGACTCTGGGACACTGCAACCATCCTAAAAGCATCTGAATTTTGAACATGTGACCATGGGGATGCTGCAATAGTCATAAGTGTGAAAAAATGAGCATAAGTCACATGTTTCAGTGTGTAACTTTAAACGGTCACTGAATGAACTGTTTGTTAGTCAAGGACTACCTGTATGTTTGTGAATGTGTAAGTATATGTTTGTTGATAAGCGCACATATAAATATATTTTCATTTTCAAAATCTGAGAACATTTTCTAGAATTAATTTGATTTTTTTTTAACCAGTGAAGTTTTCGAGATGAGTAGTTTCTTCCAAGAAGCATCTGATTTGCTAGAAAAGAAAAAAGTTTTGCTACAAGTCAAGAGCCCAAATAATAATGATGATCACAATGAAGACACAGATGTCATCAAAATGGCAGTTAAGTTTGATAAGTAAGTGAGATAATTAGCATCCTCTGTTTCTTTAAAAGACTAAACATTGAGACAGCTTCTGGGTTACGCTAAGCCAGAGACTATTTAATATTGGTTTGATAAGGCACAGTTGCCTGTGTTCAAGCATTACATTAAGCCACGATTTTAATTGCACTTTGCAATTAAATTGATTTTCTACAATTTTTCAAGAACTCATTAAACTGGTTCACACACGTTACTTGGCTGTTTGTCTTTCTCATGTTTATATTCTGGTGCTGTTCTAACTTTGAAGAGTCCCTAAACAGAGAGTTGTAAGTCGAGGACGGTGGTGGGTTCCAGGAGGTACGCCCTGGTACCGGTGCCTATCGGAAGCAGCAGCCACCGTACCAGAATGGTGCTTTGGAGGGCCCGCCCGCCCGCCCTCGTTCCTTACCTGTATTTGAAGGAAACGGGCCATTTGCGCATGCAGGCACAGCATACGGCGCCTGCGCAACACTCCACCGAGCAGTTGGAGCTTTGCAGGCAGCGGGTGTGCCCATGTTGGACACCCGACCCCATTGCAGCGTACCGGTTGCGATGGCATCCGGAACCCATCGAGGACTACCATATTCTAAAGCAATAGCAGTAATAGCAATAGCAGTTAGACTTATATACCGCTTCATAGGGCTTTCAGCCCTCTCTAAGCGGTTTACAGAGTCAGCATAT